CTCAGATTTGTTCATTTCTGGTTTATTCATCATAGTTTTCATTAGAAAACAACGTAGATGTTCCTCAACAAGAATAACTGAAAATGAAAATATTTCATTTACACAATGAACTATTATTTAGTCATTAAAAATGGGGTATATCATAGAATTCACAAGCAATTGAATGAAACCAGAAAATACTCATTCTGAGTGAAATAACCCAGATACAGAAAGAAAATATGGTATATATTTGCTTATGTGTTGATATTGGCTGTTAAGTCAGAGATAACCAAAATAAAATCTATAGATTCAGAGGATAATTATAGTCTTAGTGACTAGAGGTACAGACACATCTTGTTGGTAAAGGAAGATAGATTAAAAATGGGGGTCTATAATAGTGGTAACAAGTGGAGCAGAGGATGGAATGTAGAATAAGGCATGGAATCTGGGGAGAGACAGCTAAAATTGAGGACCATTCGAGGGGTATTAAAACCTGTTACAGCACTAAAATTACTAAAATACTTAAATAAATGAAAGTAATTTACATGAAATTGTCTAAAAATGGAGAAGATAGAGTTCTAACTCTTGCTATCAAAAGAAAGTTCCAGCACTTGTAATGGGTTACATCTAATTTAGATACTGGCCAAAGGGGTCCTCTGGGAATCCATAAACCCTAGATGTTACCAAGACCAACCAAGGTTGCTCTTCACAAAATAGTAGCAAAGCCCTACTGCTAAAGAAAACACAACTCATTGAAGATGGAGGAGCAGATCTGGAGCCCACATAGAGCCTATGTGCTAGCATCTTAGGCACACAAATGTACCTTTCACACTCCCTATATAAACACCAACCCAGTCTTAAACACTTATGCATTGGTGTCATGCCTACAAGCTATGCTAGAGCTTTGATTACACAAGGTTGTGAAAGTAATCAATCAATGTGTGGTTTCACTTAAGGTCCATTAATTACACAGGATGGAACACATGTCCAGCACTGCTCAGGTGAGCATGAACCAGAGGACAGATAGCCTAGGTACCTAGGTTATAAGAAATACTACTGTTTTTTTAAAAGTAAAAGTAGCAATAATAACTCCTGATGACTTTCTCCTATACTCAGATGAGAACCTGAACACCCAGTCCTAAATAGATGCCTCCATCATACCACTTCCTTTAGAGCTCAGGGGATCCAGATGAAGAGGAAACAGAAAGAAGCTAAGAGCCAGAGAGGATGGAGGACACCAAGTTAGGAAGACACTGTGAATCAGTGATTTTCAACTTTCCTAAGGCTGTGACATGTTCCTCATGCTCTGATGATCACAAAACAAAAAATAATTTTTGTTGCAACTTTAACTATAATATGATTCTGTTATGAATTGTAATTTAAATATATGATATGCTGGATATCTGATATATAACCCAAGTGAAAAGGTCATTTGATCACAAAAGATCCTGTGGACCACTACTCTTATTCCACATGATCAAATCTCATATGTACTCAGAGACTGGAGAGAAGCCTGCACATGGCCTGCAAGTTTCCTCTGCATGTACAATATAGCTTTCAACTTAGGATTTTCAGTGGGATTCCTAAGGATCCAAATGAGTGGGTCTCTGATTCTTGTACCTTTTCTTAGGCTGTTTTCCTCCTGTTTCATTGTCTTGTCCAAATCTGATATGCTAGCTTTTTCTCTTACTATATATTATTTTGTCGTATTTTATCATTATCACTTAGCAGCCTGTTTGTTAGCTAAGAAGATACAAAAAGGGAGTGGATCCAAGTGAGAAGGAGTTATGGAAGAACTTGGAGGAACAGAGTAAAGGAACACCATAATCAATATATATTATGTGAGAAAAAATTATTTTCAGTAAAAAATAAAACTAAAAATGTAAATGTTATTGTCACAAGGATGGTCACTCAACTTCCCTTTACATCTTGAAGCAACAATAGAGTTATTAAAGTATTATTTATTTATTTATTTATTTATTTATTACTGATTGGGGGTAATCAAAGTAGGGGTTGGTTGGGTAAAGGTGGGGTACTTTCTACAACAAATGTAGAGGTCTGTGGACCATTATATGGAGTCAGTACTTATTCTACATCTGTTAGTTGTTTCCTGGGATAGATCTCATGTTACCTGACTTACATGTCAGGCCTTTTAATCACTGAGCCGTCTCTCCAATACACAAGTAATTATTTTTAAAGCTAGTCATGTGGATGTATTGGACCATTAACCTTCAAGAAGCATTACTAGGAAGCTATTGCTGATGCTTGAGCATTTCTGAAAGGGAACGGTTAAAGCCATGTTTGGTGTCTTTACGACAGCATGGCACAGTAACCAGAAGGGTCTAATAGGGCAACATATACCTTATTAGTAGAAATAGCTGTCTAATATTCCTCACAAATATGAGGAAAAAGTGTAATGTTCTGGAAAACCAACCAACTATCCAGGACTAGTGTCATTTTAATCTTGAAGAAATATACAACTACAACTTGTTAAATAAGCATAATTCATAAATTGCAATCTAAATATTTATCCTTGTACTCTCAGATATAGTTCTTATTCCTCATCAAACGTCTTATAGCCTCAGACAAAAACCATTAAAAACCATAGCGCAACAAAAATACAGATAACAGGTGATTGTTTGGTGTTCATTCTTAGCTGATCATTCTGTAACAGAACTCCTTCATCTAAGGCTCAGAGTACATCATGCAATGCATGGAAGAAAGATTGTGAGAACTAAAGGAATAGAGAATTTACTATGAGATTGCATTTCTTCTAAATGTAGTCACATATAAATAATATGTACACATAAAAATTTAATATTATAAAGACTAATCATATCCAATTTACATATTTTAGAATATAAATATAAGTGTATGTGTCTTTGTGTGCATGTGTAGTTATATAAATGTAATTAAAGATAAGATGAATCTCAGAGATCAAAAGAGGTTATAGGAAACATTGAGAAGAGAAAGAGAAGGAGAAAATGTATAATTATAATTTATATAAAATATATTAACAAAACTGTACCTTTAGAAATACAGAGTAATGCATGAACATGAACATGTCTAACTCTGTGATAAAATATAGCCGATAATATACTCTAAATATATACTACAATCTACTTCTTTGCCATGTCTTACAGTCTGTTGGCCTCTGACAGACTGTTCTAGAAATACCCCAAAAGAATATTTAAGCTTATTATCCAAGTTCGTTGTCATTTATTTACTGTCTTACAGAAATAAAAAGACAAATGCTATTAATTCAGGAATGAATCTTACAAAATAAAAATATCAGAAAAAAGGCAAAACTTGTCAAATTGAACATATTAAGCATTTTCAGAAACTATTCAACAATAAAGTGAAATAGTACAACACAATTAATATATATTAGTGATCTGTGGTAAATAATTGTAAGGGTGTAGGGCTGGAGAGATTGCTCAGAGGTGAAGAGTGTGTTCTGAACATGCAGAGGACCCAACTTTGGTGTAGGAGGGTCTTCTGTCTATGTGTTACTTTCATTGGTGAAATAAAGAAACTGCCTTGGCCTAGTTGATAGGGCAAACTCAGGTAGGCGGGGAAGACAGAACAGAAATATGGGAGGAAGAAAGCACAGTCAGAGAGCTGCCAGGGAACCAGCCACCAGGTCAGACATGCTTAATCTTTCCCGGTAAGCCATAACCCTGTGGTGGCATACAGATTATTGGAAATGGGTTGAATCAAGATGTGAGAGTTAGCCGATAAGAGGCTAGAAATAATGGGTCAGACAGTAATTTAATTAATACAATTTGGTGTGGTTATTTTGGGTATAAACTAGCTGGGTGGCAGGGATGCAGCTGGCTGCTCTCATTACAACACTACATCAGTTCCCAATGTCTACACTAGAAGGCTCAGAATTGCCTTTGACTCTGGCTCCAAGGCATCTCATCAGTGCCCTTTTCTGGCCTAACAAGTCACCAGCCCTCACATGCACATACTCACATATAATTTAAAATAATTTTTTAAAAAATATTAATGCTACATCTTAAAAGAACGTTTAGTTAAAGCAAAAATATACTTCTTTATTTCTTTGATTTTTAAAAAGAAGTGGAATTTTATTATTCTATAAACTAGACAATTAATCAAGTAAAATATTGAATAATTATAATCCAATATGGGATTATTACCAGCATCATCATTTTGATAGACACATTAGGATTGCTGTTATAACATGACTAATATTCATTGTAAATTTTGCAAAGAACAACAAAGGAGGCATTGCATCTCATATTTAAAAAGCAACAACTTGCAAACATTTAGTACAATAATCAAATAGTTAACTATTTGAATTAAAAGGTGTTGGGTCCAGGATGCAACTCAATTGTAATCATGGCAGATTCTATGGCCGAACAACTTATAAATAAGCAATTTCTGAAAAGCTGTGTTCTTTTGAGACTATGGTAAAACGGGGAGTGTTTGTGAACCCTCCTATGGAGACCACCCCTTTAATCCAAGCACTTGTGGGGCACTCTCCGGTAGATCTTTGAATTGAAAACCAGCCTTCTCCACAAAGTGCATTCCCGACTAGCCAAGGTTACAGAGAAAACATGTCTGGAAGAAAATTCATAAACACGGGGTGAAAGCGGATGTGCTATGTTGGTTAGTCTTCCGTGCTGTGGTTAGGTAGATAATTCAAGACTCTCATGACATCCTGTATGTTTTATTCCAGCTCTGCCTCTTGTGACCTAAAGAAGCACCATGCTCTCTGTGCTCAAAAGCATTGTGTGGATTGGTGAGTCCTACTGGGAATACACGGGGTGGGATGCCAGGGTGGAGATATTAGCCTAGGAGACTGGAACTGACCACAGCAGAAACACTGGCTTCCATGGTGGATATTGGTTAATGAGTTCATCTTAACAAAGAAGTCTCTACTTCTAATGTATGGAGGCCCAACAGGGATGGGGAGGTCAGATGGCTAGGCTGTTGAAAGGAGATAGATCATCCATCATGAGTTTTTCTTTTCAGGCTCCTTCCTAGTCCTGAGGATGTTGGCACAAGCAGGTGAGTCCATTGTTAAAATCTTGAGTTACTACCCATCCCAATAAATAGGTTTTATTATAGCAGGAGATCAGAATTACAGTGTGTTGTCTTATGGCTTCTGTGAATGACTCCTTGGTGAATCTTCTGAACTGTGAAGTTATGACTCCTGAATCCAGCCTCTCAGATCTGACTGAGATTGTCCCAGATACTGCCCCTGGATGAGAAAGGCATCAACTTTGTTCAGTAAAGCATTTTTCATCTTTTCAAGACAGGATTTCTCTGTGTAGCTCTCACTATCATAGAACTCATTTTGTAGACCAGACTGACCATGAAATCAGATATTGGCCTGCCTCTGTCACCCAACAAATATGATTAAAGGTATGGTTCAAAAACATGGAGATTAATCAATTGTTTTAAAATCTACTTTGCAACATTCTAACCTAACCACCTCCACATATTTTGAAATTTTGATGCTGTAATTTATGACTTTGTATGTTTGTCACTTGACAAACCATTGAAGTTACTGTTTTTGTCTTCAAACATATATACAAATGATAAAATTTGTATATCACCAGCACAGTATTGATACCTCTTATTTTGGCTTGCTATTAGTGAACTACTCTACATTGTCTACATGAAGATGCTTCCTCGTAACTCATTAGCAGCCTTTTCTTTGAGTAACTTCACAGCATTTCCTGTGCATATGATGATTGAACTCTGCTACAATTTTTCTGAGAAATTCGTTAACTCTATTTCCGAAGGTCAGTGTTGTTGATATTTATAGGCGGGTTTTTTTTCCACTCACCTCATTGAATGCATCATCCTTGTTTCTTAGGACCTGTAGATATTTGCTCTGAAGTCTGACAGTAACTGTACTGGAAGCCCTTCATTTGGTTTTTACTTCTTTTTTCATTCTGATATCAGGATCTCTTATGATAAAATATGTTCTGTGATTCTGATTATTTCAATTCAATAGTGTGGTTGACCCTTCTTGGACCTGATCATGTTCATTTTACTTCTTTTCAACAGTGTGATGTCATTGCTTCTCTATGTTGTTTCTGTTTTTTAATTAGTTCTGTTATTTCTTTCTCTTAATATGTTAATGATTCTTTTATAATTTTATACAATGTGTTTTAATTACATTTATCCCCCTGTCTAAACTCATCCTAGTTCTATCTCCTCCCTTACACACTCAAGAAAGCCTCTATAATCTTTTATTCTTTCTTGAATTTTTACGACTGATAATTTGATATTGAATGCCATCAAAAAGAAATCTTGTCATTCTTCATTGTTTTTCATTCAGGTTCTGTATTTATGCATAAGATTATATAATGCCTGATCTAGCCTCACTCATTCTCCTGTTGTATCAAGTATACTATTGAAATTTGTTTTTTTTTTTTTTACTATTTAGTCTAACTTGAAAATGAACTTGGGAAAACTGGTTGCAATCCTGAACAGGATGACCTTGATGTCAATTTTGGTAGTTTAACTAGCTTACTTCTTCTGTTTTAAGATCATATGCTGTTGCTACCTGGGCTTCTGGATCAGTAAGATCACTGGACATACTTCACAATCAGGGCCAGTCTCTCATTGGCATCCTTGATCACCTCTACTGAGGAGTGTTGTAAGATATCTATACTGGCTGGAGTCTATATAATCTTCACTGAAGTGTTTTGCTATTTGTCTCTTTCCTGGTGAACATACACCATTAAATAAAGAACAACAACCACGATTCATGAGCTGACAATCATAAGTTGAAATCATTTTTATCATTAAGTGACCCAAGTGTCAGAGAAGACTATACTCTTGAAGTTTCATATGCAAGAAGCCTTGAAATGGTGTGGAAACTATATGTGTGCCTCTAAGCTATCTCTAACCCTCTTAGTGTAGAAAATGAGCCAGTATGACCTCTGTAAATGAATGTCTGTACAACAGTACATAAGGGACAGTGTAGTTAGAAGGACTCATTCCTCCTATTTTGTTGTAGATTTTCTTTATTTTTTGGTCTGACTCACCCTCATTCCTGAGGTTTGGCATGCTTACAATTTAATTTTAATCCGAGTAGTGTTAGATTTCTAGAGACAGCGAAGTTGAATCAAGAGCATACCTTTTCTGCTTTCTTAGAGGCCACAGTTTCCATCTGTCTTCTCACAGATTAATCTTCTCTATTTTCATCTGATGAATTTCTTTTTAGATTACATTTTATGACCAAATTTACTTCATTATTTAATACTTACAAATAATTCTCAGTTAATGTATCTTAGCATAGAATGATATACATTATGTTGTGGTAGTTAGGGGACACTCATTACATGAAAATGACACTATTGTGTTTACGACTTTTCTTGGGAATATATAACTTGCAGGCAAATCAACTGGTGTTAGATACCATCTCTTAAAATTCAGCAGTACCAGGTTCTGCAGAAATAGAAAGGTTCACTTTTGAACTTTGCAAGTTTCAACTTTCCAGTACATATAATGTTTGTTCACCTCCTGATTCCCCTGAGTATTTCAGCTTCTAAACTCTGAAACATGGATGTTGCAATTCAGAGAAACTTGTTGTATAAAGGACCCTGAAAAAGTGAAAATTGGAGACTCAAATGTCAGGAATAAAGGGGGATCATGAAATATTTTACTCTGCGCATATTCCCACAGGAAGTCATGACAAGCCTTCACTGTCTGCCTGGCCAAGCCCTGTAGTTCCTAAAGGACAGCATGTGGAAATTCATTGTGACTCTAATAAGAATAACACATCCAGGCTGTACAAAGAACATGGAGACCCTATCCCTCAGATCCATGACAGAATATTCCAAAAGAGACTTCTCCTGGGTCCTGTGACACAAGCACATGCAGGAACCTACAGATGCTATGATTATAATTGTCAACGTCCTAGTGAACTCTCATCACACAGTGACCCTCTGGAGATCATAATTTCAGGTCAGAGATCATGTTTGGATTGTCATTTCATTTCCTCAAATCTCCACACAATAGAATTTTCAGGATTAATTTTAGGCAGATTTTTAGCCTCACAAAGTAATATTCAACACAGGTGGTTGGATACTTTGGTGAGCAAACCATAAACCCAAGGACATGTGTTTTCTTCTCCCTGAGACTTCATGAATGTTAAGACAGTGTTAAGTAGTGTTAAGTCAGGGATAATTTGGGCTTGAAGATGGAACTCAGGTATTAACAGTTTGACATCAGGATAGGAGAATAGCCTTAATTATCCAGGCTCTATAGAAACACAAGGGACCATAAAACTAAATGAGGAAAAAATACTATTATAAGAAGAAGAAAACATGAGGGAGACATCCTAATGCTAACTCTTACAGTGGAGGAAGGGTCCAAGTGCCAAGAAAAGCATGAGGCCTCTAGAAACTGGAAGGCACAAAGTAATGAATACTTACCTAGTGATTTCAGCAGTAGCATATCCCTGCTGATCGCTTATTTATGCTGTTTGGGCTTGTTTCAGAGTTCTGATCTTCACAACACTTGTGTTCTTTTTAAGAATCATATTTGTCATGAATTGTTATGATAGCAATTGGAAACTAAGACCAGAGTCAATGTCAAGGCCAATTTAAGAACTGGGCAGGGAAGTGTAGAGATCACTAAGTCAGAAAAGCAATACATTCATTTATTGTAGGAAATAATACTCATGATGCCATATTTCAATAGCCTTACAGAATTTTGAACCATAGAAAAGGCCAGAAAAGATTTCATAATACCTACCTTCACTACTAATTATCTTACCTTGCCAATGATTATAGTCATTCAAAAGTATCATTAAATGGACTCATAAAAGAACCCAGCCTAAAGCTTGCCATGTTTTCTGCCTTCCCTGAATATAGAAAAAAAGGGCAATAATGGCTCCAATAGACTGGTTCCAGAGACACTTTATCCCAATAAGCCAGTGAGAAAATACTGTACTGCTACCAGAGTCACAGAAGTCAGAAATGATCAGAGAAAGATGAAAAAGTTTGTGTACAAAGTTGACATAAACACAGACAAGGACACTAGGACACTGACAGGAAGAACAGGTTAAGGTAGAGAATCATAGATTTGGGGGATATATAGATTGGGGTCAGGTTCTTAATCACAATCTCTCTATTTCTACAGGAATCTACAGGAATCCTTTCCTATTGGTCCTATCAAGTCCCCTGATAAAATCAGGAGAGAAGATGACCCTAGAGTGTCGTTCAGAGATTATGTTTGACACTTTCATTTTGACTTCACAAATAATCAATGGCTCTTTCCAGCTTCCTGCAGAATCTCATCATGGGGGGTCCCATGCCAGCTTCTCAATAGGTCCTGTGACACCTGACCATGCTGGTGTTTACATATGCTATGGTTCTTATAACCAAACACCATATGAGTGGTCTGAATCCAGTGACCCTGTTGACATAAGGATCACAGGTAAGAGGGTGCTACCTGGTCCTCATCCTCTCTGTGATATAGAACCATTATTCTATAGACTTGAAGTCTTGGGAGATGGTGGGGAAAATGAAGGTAGGAAACGTAGAAAAAGGCATCCTTGGTAAATATGTCACTGACACAGACAATGAAAACTGACACACAAGAGACACCATTGGTTATAATATAAAGCACAGATACACAGATGTCAATTAAATCATAATTAGAAGTAAAGAGAAAGGGGTGATTCAGTGAAATTGATATAATCAGAGACAATGACATCCTTCTACTAATATTCAGTGACATCAACAGTTCAGAATTTTGTTTACTTCCTACCTTTTCAATTCATCTGTCAGAGACATAAACGTGTCATTTTTCTGATATGAGTTGATGTACTGAGTAGGGCTGGTTTTTAATTAATATGAGGTCCGGATAAAGATAGCACGCATAAAATTTTACCTAGTTTGGCAGTTCTTCAATTTCTATGTTTGACTGACTATTCATCAAAAAATAGCATAACCATGAGTAATTGAGCAGACCACCAATTGCTGTTTGTTCTCTGCATTTTCAAACTGCTGTCAGTCTATGTTCCCAAGTTATTCAGACATTCTAGGATAGGTGGAAAATCTGTAACAGTTCCCCCTGGGATACACAGAAACAAATAGTGCAGAGACATGGAAATACAAAAAAAATAGTAAGTAAGACAGGGAGAGTGAGAGAAAGATGCAAAGATAGAAAGGGCTGAGGAAAATGTAAGCATGGCATTTGTGGGAGGAGAAAACCTGCAAAAGTCTTAAGCTTGAAAATTTGAAAGTAGAGGTAAAGAAAAACTGGCAAATATTAGATATTTTAAAGCAGAGATATGGAGGCCAATAGGAGATTACACTTGATCAGTATACATACAAAGAATTAAGTGAGAGAAGATCATCATGTTCCCTGTTTAAGGAAAACAAGCACCACATTAAAAGAATATCCTGCATTTGGAAAAGAGATTCATTAACACATATGGAAAAAGAGACAAGAAAAAATTAATTACTCAGAATGAGGTCAGATTCTACATTTTTTTTCTACGTAAAAGCAAAGAGCCTTTATTCTTTTTTTTTTATTGCGAAAAGAAGAAAAAAAACATAAACAAAAAACAAGTTTCCACCTCCTCCCAGCCTCCCATTTCCCTTCCCCTCCTCCCACCCTTCTCCCCCTCCTCCCACCCTTCTCCCCCTCCTCCCACCCTTCTCCCCCTCCCCCCACTCCTCTCCCTCCCCTCCCTCTCCAGTCCACAGAGCAGTCCAGGTTCCCTGCCCTGTGGTAAGTCCTAGGTCCTCCCCCCTCCGTCCATATCTAGGAAGGTGAACATCCAAACTGGCTAGGCTCCCACAAAGCCAGCACATTAAGTAGGATCAAAACCCCCTGCCATTGTCCTTGGTGTCTCATCAGCCCTCATTGTTCGCCATATAGTGCTTGAAGTTCTAGCAATAGCAATAAGACAACATAATGGGATCAAGGGGATTCAAATTGGAAAGGAAGAAGTTAAACTTTCGTTATTTGCAGACGATATGATAGTGTACATAAGCGACCCCCAAAACTCCACCAAAGAACTTCTACAGCTGATAAACAGCTTTAGTAATGTGGCAGGATACAAGATCAACTCCAAAAAATCAGTCGCCCTCTTATACACAAAGGATATGGAAGCAGAGAGGGAAATCAGAGAAGCTTCACCATTCACAATAGCCACAAACAGCATAAAATATCTTGGGGTAAATCTAAACAAGGAAGTGAAAGATCTATTTGACAAGAACTTTAAGGCATTGAAGAAAGAAATTGAAGAGGATACCAAAAAATGGATGGACCTCCCTTGCTCTTGGATTGGGAGGATCAACATAGTAAAAATGGCAATTCTACCTAAGGCAATTTATAGATTCAATGCAATCCCCATCAAGATCCCATCAAAATTCTTCACAGATCTGGAGAAGACAATAATCAACTTTATATGGAAAAACAAAAAACCCAGGATAGCCAAAACAATCCTATACAATAAAGGATATTCTGGAGGCATTACCATCCCTGACTTCAAACTCTATTACAGAGCTACAGTAATGAAAACAGTGTGGTACTGGCATAAAAACAGAGAAGTCGACCAATGGAATCGTATAGAAGACCCGGATTTTATCCCACAAACCTATGAACACCTCATTTTCGATAAAGGAGCTAAAAGTATACAATGGAAGAAAGAAAGCATCTTCAACAAATGGTGCTAGCACAACTGGATGTCAACATGTAGAAGAATGAAAATAGACCCATATCTCTCACCGTGCACAAAACTCAAGTCCAAATGGATTAAAGACCTCAATATCAGCCCGAACACACAGATTCTACATTTTTAATATTCAAAGGATGAGAAAGTTGTAAGTCATGAAATTGGGAAATAACCATGAGAATGGGAAGAAGATTAACAAAGAGGGATATGTAAAGAGGAAGAATACATATGCCATTGAGGTAAAAATGCAGAGAAGAACAAGCAGAGGTATAAGGGAAGGAACTGGGTAGAAAATGAAAATATATATACTATATGAGGATGTCTTTATGAAGTACATTGATTTATATGCTAACAAAATAACAAGTATATCTAATTAAACTCATTGTTTAACAGAATATTTGGAAAAACTGAAAGTATAAAGAATAATAAAGGAATGGAATCAGGGAAGGTTGGGGGACAAGAGAGAATGATAGCATAAATGTGATTATGACTACATATATAAATATATGTAACTACACTAAAAGGAAAAGAGGCCATGAAATAATGTAATTGTATTCTAATTTCAATTTTTAATGAAAACAAGTATAAAATACATTACATATTTGAATGTTCAATAAAGAAGCCAATTGCTTCTTAAGTTAAATATCTGTTTATAAAACAAATATAAAAAGAAAGATGGATGAACCTATGCATATAGAGGTAGAAACTGTCAAAAATAAAACTGAGCAAATGTATGATTATAGGATTGATGTTAAGTCAAAGAATCAGTAAGATAATATAGAAGGAAAGTGGGAGATAGAAAGAATTAGGGAGGTAGAAAAAAGAACACATAAATGTTGGGCTTGAGAGAGAGTGATCACAGAAATAGAAGCAGGGAGACAGAACTCTGAGGAGTGATTGAACACTGGTAAAGAACTGCCCCTCTAACTGTATCTTCTTCCTTTCTTCCAGGTGTGTACAAGAAACCTTCTCTGTCAGCCACGAGGGGTCCTGTGGTGATGTCAGGAGAGGACATAACCTTGTTCTGCACCTCTGACCAACAGTTTGACATGTTCCATCTGTCCAGGGAAGGGGTGCCTCAAGGACATGGGCTGCCTGCAGAGCAGAGCCACAGTGGGGCATTCCAGGCCAACTTCCTACTTTTTACTATGATCCAGTCTGGGACCTATAGGTGCTATGGCTCTTTCAGGAACTTTTCCCATGTATGGTCATCCCCAAGTGACCCACTGTACATTTCTGTCACAGGTAAGAAAGTCTTGTTTATTCATCATGTCTTTTAACCAATGAAACTCTAAAACCATTTCTGAGAACCATCCTACTGATGATGGAGAGACTCAGTAAGTACACAAATACATCATCTGTATTTTGTATATATGTACACACACTTAACAATATTAATCTAAGACAAAGAGGCTATCAAGATAAGGAAGTGTGTAGGAAGGCTACCTCGGTGGAGCTGGAGAGATGACAGGGATAGGGTAAGAGATACAATTATATTTAATTTTAAAACTTTTTTATTTATTTTGAGAATGAATATCATATTACAAAATAATAGACAAGGCCTTTCCCCAACAATCCTTATTCTGATTCGTCAACCACACTGGAATGTATAGGTCTCCAGGGAGAATTAGAAAGAGGTCAGAACAGACTCATTAGGGATAAGCTTTCAATCAGTTTGGGTAGGTCAAGAATGGAACAGTCCTGATCTCTGCCTCACATAGATATCTCTACGGTATTCCCATTGACTCATCACAATTTGAAAACAAAACTTCAAAGCAAGCCATCTAATGGCATCCTATAACACTAAAGACAGCACTAAGAGGTGGAGTGGGTGCTACTTACTATCCAAATTCAAAGGACTTTCGAAACAGGGAAGGCACAAAGTTTTTAATGAACTTTCTCTCTCTCCTCTCCCCTTCCCTAGTAAGCTCATCAAGAAACTGTACTTCATGCATCGAACCAGACTCCAAAACTAGTAAGTTTTCCTCTTCTCTGTCGTGGAAACGTAGGGACCAAAAACTCTTGGGTTCATGTTTTGACTCCGATCTCTCACAGCTCAGTAGTCTTAACATCATCATCTCCTCTCTGTGATTCTTATACTCTGCAACATCAGAAGTTTTGGGGAGTAGAGTAAAAACTGTATCTGAGATCTCCTATAAGTGAAAAGGAGAGCAGATTTTACTCCCTTCCAGGGATGACAAACTGCTCATTCTATTTCAGTTCCTCCTGGAGAAAATGTTATGAGGCCCGAGAAAGGAAGTAAGTGAGAAAAAAATGATTTTATAAAAATGTTGCCTATGATTGCAATAGACTTGACTTTACTTTTCTCCTGAGAGAGAATTCGTTGTTTGATTCAAGAGTGTTGTAGATGTAGAAGTTGCTAAACAGATTAACTGAACACTACTATCAATCTCAGATTAAGATAGTCAATACATGACCTCTACCTGGTGTCCTTCAGGTCTCTGCCACATGCATAATGCATATATGTTCATTGAGGTGTAGACTTCTGAAGGAGCATGGTCATCTTACTAGCAACAACTCTCCTAAAACTGACACCCCTCTTCCCAACAGTTATCAATTGCCTACAGCCCCTTGACCAGGGGTAGGACATCAAGATGACCTTGTCTTTCCACGCTGGGAATTTGTCTAGCTTGAACTTGCAACACTCTTGGGTTTGGCACCATGACCTCTTAGAAAGTTTATATATTCAACTGCCCTGCGGTGTACAGAAGACAGTTTCCGTATAGTCATATAGAGCCTCTTTTGCAATCTCTTCTTCCATCTCTTTCACAAAGATGGTGAATATTTGGAGAAGGATATAAGATATAGATGTCTCATATAAGGCCAACAATTCTATGATCTCTTATTCTCTACAACTTTACCCAGTTGTGGGTATCTCTATTGATCACCATCTATCACAAATATAGACTCAACTGCTGAGAGTTGAAAAATGCATTAAAATATGGTTATAATAATAATTCATTAAGAGTCAGTTTAATACTATTTCCATTGAGATGTATATTATTAGTAGGTTCTCTATCAAGACTCTTGCCCTAATAATATCATATTAACTATCCTTCAATCAATAAATATTTTGGAACAATCGTCTTTTATCCTGTCACTTGTATTAATTTTAATAAAACACTGATTGACCAGTAGCCAGGCATTAAGTATAGGTGGGACAGTCAGGCAGGAAGTATAGGTGGGGCAATAAGAAGAGGAGAATTCTAGGAAGAGGGAGGAGTCAGTCTGCAGTCATCAGCCAGACACAGAGGAAATAAGATGAGAATGCCTCACTGATGAAGGTACCAAGCCATGTGGCTAACAGAGACAAGAATAATGGGACAATTTAAGATGTAGGCAGTTTGGATGATCAACTTACTAGACCTGGATGGAGGTGGGGGTTCCTTGGACTTCCCACAGGACAGGGAACCCTGATTGCTTTTCGGGCTGAGGGGGGGGGGGGACTTAATTGGGGGAGGGGGAGGGAAATGGGAGGCAGTGGCGAGGAAGAGACAAAAATCTTTAATAAATACATAAATTTAAAAAAAAAGAATTAGGGGCCAGAGAGATGGCTCAGAGGTTAAGAGCATTGCCTGCTCTTCCAAAGGTCCTGAGTTCAATTCCTAGCCACCACATGGTGGCTCACAAGCATCTGTAATGAGGTCTGGTGCCCTCCTCTGTCCTGCACCACAGACAAAATATTGTATACATAATAAATAAATAAAATATTAAGATGTAAGAATTAATTAATAAGAAGCCTGAAATAATAGGCCAACTGGTTTATACTTAATGTAGACTTTTGTGTATTTCTTTATTTTTTTATTTTTCCATTCAGAAATTTACACTTTATCCCATCCTCCCATTTCACTCTCACTCCCCCACTAACCCTCTTCCCTCCTGCTCCCTCCTTAAGAGAAGGCAAGGTACCCTGCCTGTGGGAAGTCCACGGCCCTCCTTCATCCAAGGCTAGTAAGCTATGCATCCAAATAGACTAGGGTCCCAAAAAGCCAGTACATGCAGTAGAAACAGGTCCCAGTGCCATTATCAATGGATTCTCAGTCTGCTCCCATTGTCAGCCACATTCAGAGAGTGCAGTTTGACTACATGCTCATTCAGTCCCGGTCCAACTGTATTTGGTGAGCTCCCATTAGAACAGGCACACTGTCTCAGTGGGTGGACCAACCCCTCATGGTCCTAACTTCCTTACTCATCTTCTCCCTCCTTCTGCTTTTCAACTGGACCTTGGGAGCTCAGTCCATTGCTCTGATGAGGGTCTCTGTCTCTGTCTCCATCTATTACTTGATGAAGATTCTATGGTGATATTTGAGATAATCATCAGGGGCCAGTTCAGGTACCCTCTCCTCTGTTGCCCAAGGACCTAGCTAGGGACATCCCCGTGGACACCTGGGATCCCCACTAGAGCCAATTCTCTTGCCATCCCTAAAATGGATCCCTTAATGGAGATATCTTCTTCCTTGCTTCTCTATCAGCCCTTCCTCCACCTCCACCCTCTCCCCAAAGCTCTCCCCAGTTTTCCCTTTCTTCTTTCTCTCTCCCCCTCTCCCTTTCCCCAACCCCCATACTCCCAACTTTTTTCCGGCAATCTTGTTTGCTTCCAATTTCCAGGAGGATCTATATATGTTTTTCTTTGGGTTCACCTTGTTATTTGGCTTCTCTAGGCTTGTGAACTATAGGCTCAATGTCCTTTGTTTATGGCTAGAGTCCACTAATGAGTGAGTACATACCATATTCATCTTTTTGGGTCTGGGTTATTTCACTCAGGATAGTGTTTGCTATTTCCATCCATTTGCATGTTCACTGGATTCTCGTGTTATCATATTGCTTTTCAGGTTGTTGGAGGAATTCTTGCATTGGTGCCTTCCCATCTCTTCCTTCAAATGCAGTCAGGAGAGTCTTGGTGTCTTGGTCCAATCTTTGCTGTGGCTAACTGTGTACTTGGTTTTTTTTTCTTGGTCTGCCCTCTCTTAGGTCCCCTCAGCACTGCAATTGGTTCTCAGATCCCCTCCAACCTGTAGTAGGCAGTGGTGGTGGATCTAAGGACCCTGCAGATGAAGAGGAGTGCTTGGTGGCAAGATGAGATGGAGTAAATAGAGAAAGCCAGTAGTCAGGGGGAAGCCCCACTGAATGGCCAGAAAGTTTAGGGAATTGGAGGGGGCCTGTCCTCCGTCCCCGGGCATCTGGCTGGCCAGGTGGGCATACACTTACCCCTTCAGATGGATCTCCTTGTACAGGAGCAAGGCTTCTTGCTGGCCAAGGACCTCGCAGACAAAAGGGAGGGCTTGCTAGGTGTAGTCTCAGTGGAACAAAGAAATTCCTGCAACAGTTGCACTCACCACTTTGTCCCAAGACCGTCAGCCCTGAAGCAGGCTGAGTTGGGGGAGAAAGGCAGTAGCAGGGGAGAAGCCCCGTTGAATGGCCAGAGATTTTAGGGGATTGGAGAGTGCCTGTGCTCCTTTCCCGGGGTGTCCAGCCACCAGCCAGGCATACACTTACCCGAACTTTTGTGTATTTCTTTGGGCCTGAACAACAGCAGGACCAGACGGGACAGAAACTTATGTCAACAAATAAATATTATTAAATCTATCAAAATGGTGATCCTAAGATTTACCTCTTATTGGATTCATGTCTTCCTCCAGATAACCACAGGAATAAGCATTTACTCATGGGTCTGTCAGCGACCATAATCCTTGTCTTCCTCATCATCCTCCTTTATTCTTATTACTTCGTTAAAAACAGTAAGTCTCAAGAACAAGCCAGTGAATGTCATCTGTGTAGAGTGAGAAAGCAAGACCAGAGAAATACAGGTGTGTTCTTTATTTACAAAAGGATACTTGGGCCGGGCAGTGTTGACGCACGCCTTTAATCCCAGCACTCGGGAGGCAGAGGCAGGTGGATCTCTGTGAGTTCAAGGCCAGGCTGGTCTACAAGAGCTAGTCCCAGGACAGGAACCAAAAAAGCTACGGAGAAACCCTGTCTTGAAAATCCAAAGAAAAAAAAGAAAGAAAGAAAAAGAAAAAAAGAAAGAAAAATGGATACTTGGGCCAATGCAGGTAAATTGAGGCAGGGTTTTCTAAACAGGAAAGAAAATCTTGCTCTTTCCTTGGCTCTCAGATAACTAATTCCTCCATGCATTTCTGCATCTTCATATTCAAAATATGCTCTAATATCGAGGAGAAGATATTATAAGAAAGAAGAAGAGAAAGGAGAAAAGGAGGAAGTAAGAGAGAGTGAGAGACTATACTGAAGAAAAATTTACTAGGGTACAGCATTGTGGGATGGAACTGCAAAGATAGAGTACAGACGTTTTGATTCTAATTTGTGACAGGTGAACAACCTTGGGTTTTACCATATCTCTCACTAGCACTTTGATTTTTAATTATACTGCAGAAAATCTTTACTATATGTGTTTGATTACATCTTTCCCCTAAAAATGCAGCCACCATGGACCAAGAATCTGAACTGAGACCAACACTAAATGAGCAGGTGGGTCCTCCTGAGTCTGTTCTCTTCCATGTGTTTTAATATTTCTTCGTTGTCTGTAAATCATGTGCATACAACATCGCTTTAAGTTTACTTCTTTCTAGGACACTGAAAGACAAGAAGTTCAGGAGGTGACATACTTAGACTTGGACCACGTCTTCAAAGAAAAATTGACCACTTCCATTTCCCAGATTCCCAAAGAATTTTCCACAGATCCCAGTGTGTACATGGAAGTCAGGAAATGTTAATCTGAGATGAAAGATCTTTTTCACCCCATGACTTCTCACAGAGCTGTCTCAACAAATCTTCTATGGAGACCACAGACCTTTCTCCAGCAAAAACTAATATATACAATGAAATAACATCTGGAATCTGAAGACAGAAGTCCTTAACTTTGGGACCATCCTTCACTATTCTAATATAGTTTGGAAAGTAGCTTTCCATTATTTACAAATATTATGACCCTCATTACTCACTCCAAATAAATCAAACTTTACTACTTTGTCCACGAGTCTCTGTTTCATTTCACTCTGGCAGAAACTTTACAACATGACTAGCTATAAATTCTAGATCTACTTGAAGATGTAATCATGATGAGTACTTCACAATTTCATATCAAGAAGAAACTTGGTCAAAACAACCTGTCAGCATAGCAAAAGCATGTTAACTAATGACATGCACTCCTAGCCAATCACAACATACCAGCCCTGACCACCAGTTTCAAAAGGATCAACTAAAAACGTTCCTGCAGCAGCTTAATTTCCCTAGCCCAATAAAAACCCCTGATCTTTTTACAATAAAGAGCTTCAGTATTAGAATCTCTTGGAGATGTGGAGTTGACTCCACATCTTCTCACCCCCTGCCCTCGGGTAAATGGGAATTGCACAACTGGCAGCAACAACTACAAACTGGTGCCCAGCATGAATGGACCTCTTCCATTGCTTACCTCTTTGGGTCTCTTTTGGGCATTTTTCTTTCTTGTTTGCTGCCCCAGCTGCTGTCTCCATCCCAACTCTCTGCCATCATCCTGAGGTTGCCCCCTTTGGCTGTTTTCGGTGAGTTGACCCCTATTTTAGTTTTCTAAGCCCTTGAGGAGTTGGGGATTTCTTCTTATCCCTACTTTTTCTTTTCTTACTCCTATTTGTCTTCCTAGCTACTAACTCTCCATTGTGATTTATTTCATCCTAGTACCTCCATGTGAGGGCTGACCACACAGGAGGTAGAACCAAAAAATGACAGGTCTTTTTCACTCTACTGTGTGAGCATAGGGTCATAGCCCTAACAAAGCACAGAAGTTCCTCACTATAAACAACACACTCGATCCACAAACACTAGTTTCCCTTCTGTCCTTGCCCTTATGCTGACGCTGACTCCCTCAGAGCCTGAGACCAACTGGCAACTTTTGCCAGGGGACTACTCTTCGGGATTGTCTGAAGGCTTTCTTGCTTTACAGGGAGTCCCAACTGCTCTTTGGAGTGTTGGATTTCCTCTCCTAGTTTTTCTTCTCAATTAATCCGGTTACTTGACCACTTATTAAAGACCTTTATGGTGGTGACTGGTCTCTTAGTTCACAGGAAGATTTTTACTGTTTGACTGTGGTTGAATCCCTTTTCCCTTACGGGATTGGGGCATTCTCCTCAAATGGTGGGTGACTACTTCCAATAGCTTGACCCTGGAACTGAGCCCAGGGACCAAGATGCAGTTGTTTCTGATCACCCTTTGTCTTCTGGTGACTCTCTTCTTTGCTATCCCTCCTTGTAGTCTCCTCCTGAGGCCCATCATGAATAGTGCCCCTTCCCCAGAGGATGGGGCATTCCCTTCTCTGCCAACGCTGCCAAAAGTTCTGTGAGTCTCATGCAAGGGCTACTGCCCTAAATCTCGCCCATCGTTTTCACTTCTATCTGGTCTCCCACCCACAATATACAGAGCCTGGAGCAGAAGCTACCTTTTCTGGCCATTTTATTGAGCTATTACAGTAGCACCTCAAAGATGAGGTGGTCCAGGCCTCGGGCTCACTCTCCCCACCTGTCTTGACCCCATTGAGTCCTGATGTGGAGGTTACACCAGCATATGATTTGTCCCTTGACAGCAGCAGAGTGGGTGGGACCCTGGCTGTGTTAGGCCCATGTATATCTTCTGATGGCTTAACTGGCCCACTTCCTTCCTCAGTCTCTTCCACCTCTACAACATCCTCAAAGCCAAAGCTCAAGAAATGCTTTCCCCTTTCTTAATGGGTCGCTTGGTCAGAGATTCTGTATGAGGCATCCTGCAATGCTGAGAAGCCATTGACAATTCCTCCCCAGCTTGGCCTCTGGAAACCAAGTCAGGCCCTCCAGTCATAGGTGGAAACAGCAACTCCAGCTCCTCTGGTGGTGCTGGGAGAGTTGGCAGGGGACTGGCTAGTGATGGCACATCCCCTGGGGAAAGATAGATTCATCACTTCGAGAGGCTGAGACTGTGTCATGGAGGGGTAACCTTGAAAGACAGAGCAGGAATGGTACAGAGAGAAGAGATGCTCAGTTTTATGGGGCTGAAGAAGCTTCCCCTGACACAGTAGGACTGGATAATGGAGGAGGGGTGGCTGGGATTACCTCAGGAGGAGGAGCTAAGTCTCAGTGGCAGAAGTATCACCTACTAATACAAAGTGAAGGAGAAAGAGGAGGAGGAAGTGGCTTGAAGTTCTTCGTACCACCCAAGGCATTCCAGCCCCAACTCAGCATTTCCTGTTCTACTATCACTGGTTCCAATGACCACAGCCCTAGAAATGCCTGACAAGGATAACATGTTTGTGGTTAAGATAGAAGGCCCTTTAGAGTACATTCTTGAGACAGTGATACACTTCATGTGAAGACCTGGATGTCTGACATCCAGGAGTCCCTAAGCCCAGGAAGCTGCTCTGATATCGGCCCCATCCCACAGCCCTGTCCCTAGCTTCTGGAACCTCCTTCCTCACAAAGGGTAACACAGACAGCCTGGAGTTGTCCTTCCTGAATCATTCAGAGTCTGCCCAGCTAGAATCTCATGCTGGGACCCAACAAGAGTAAAAACCTTCCTCAACACCCAGTAATACTACTTTGGGGTATATAACCAAAGGATGCTCAATCGTGCCACAAGAACATATGCTCAAATATGGTCATAGCAGCATTCTTTGTCATAGATAGAACCTAAAAACAACCTAAATTCCCCTTGACTGAAGAATGGATAAGGAAAATGTGATACATTTACACAATGGAGTATTACACAGCAGAAAAAAAAATAATGACATCTTGAAATTTGCAGACAAATTGATGCAGCTAGAAAACATCATTTTGAATGAGGTAATACAGACTCAGAAAGACAATTATCATATGTACTCACTCATAAGTAGTGTTTAAACATAAAACAAAAAAAATCAGCTTACAAATCACAATCCCAGAGAACATAGACAACAATGAGGACCCTCAGAGAGACATACATAGATCTAATCTGCATGGAAAGTAGGAAAAGACAAGGTCTCCTGAGTAAATTGGGAGCATGGGGACCATGGCAGAGGGTTGAAGGGGAGGGAAGAGGAATGGAGAGGAGCAGAGAAAAATGTATATCTCAATAAAATCAATAAAAAATTAATAAGTATGATCTGATGAAACTAATGACAATCACAAAGGAAAATGATACCATCATTAAGACAAGGTGTTAGCTTTAGAGAATGAAAAAGGATATTTACTAACAACATATATTCTGGATGGCTAATATCAAAAATGTATAAAGAATAAAAAAACTACATACAAAAATCAAATAAACCTATTTTCAAATGGTATGCAGCTATAAACAGAGAATTCATGAAAGAGTTAACTCAAATAGCTGAAAAACACTTAAAGATATTATCAACATACCTTGACCGCAGGAATATGAAAATCATATTGGCAAATGTCAAAAAACAAGAGACAACTCATGTTCACAAAAAAGTGAGTCAAAAGAAACACTTATATGTTGCTGGTGGGAGGAAAACTTGAACAGTCACTATAGAAATGAGTGTGTTAGTTACTCAGGAAGATGGGAATAACTATACCACAAGATACAGTAGTATCACTACTGTGGGGCATATGTCCAAAGGAGGTATCATAATATCACAGACATTCTGACTTGATATGTAGTTGCTAGAATTTGGAAATAACATAAATATTTCTCAACAGAAGTTAGATAAAGAAAATATGTTTTTTTTTAACAAAATGAAGGATTTCTTGACTTAAAAAAAATGGGACATCACAAAATTTGCAGGTAAGTGGGTGGAACTAGGGTGCAAGCAAACTTAAAAGAAATAACCCAGACTCAGAAAGACAATATTGTATGTATTTACTTATATGTTGATATTAGCTGTTAAGTCAATCATAACCAAACTACAGTCAATAGGTCCAGAGGCTATGTGTAGACTAAGAAACTAGTGTTACAGACACAGCTTGTTGGGAAAGGGAGATAGGACAGACAGTTATGGATAAATGAAGGGAGGTGGTAGAACAGAAAGATCCAGTAGAGAGGAAGGGGAAAGGGGGAATAAGGAGGAAATCTGGGGTGAGATATCTAAAATTAAGGGACATCTGAGTATTAGCATAGAAACCTACTACAGTATTGCCCTCCTAAAATATATACATATATGTTGGTGATCTAAATAAAACAGTCAATAATGACAGAAACAGAGTTCAAACAGAATGTATCTTTTCTCCAAAGAAAGTTCCCAGTACCTAGAATGGGTTACATCTCATGGGAATGTAGGTCAAAGGGGACCCATGGGAATCCCCAAACCATCCAGGCTATTACGAAGCCTGTAGTTTCCTCTCCACACAATGACAGCAAAGCCATAGTGCTAAAGATAACACCACTCCTTAAACTTAGAGGAGTGGATCTGATGCCTCAATAGAGCCTTCATTCCTATGTGCTAGCATATTTGGTATAGAAAGTTACTCTGCATACAACCAAAATAAGAAACATAAACAACAACCCAGCAACAAAATCTTTTTTTTCTTCTTTAGTGTTGTACCTACAAGATATAGTATGGCAATGGTGGCATATTGTAAGAGCCTACTTGTTCATTACCAGACGCCTGGACTCTGAAAATAACCACACAGAAACAGTATTAATTAAATTGCTGCTTGGTCTATTATCTCTAGCTTCTTATTGGATAGCTCTTACATCTTGAATTTAACCCATTTCTATTAATCTTTGTATCACCGCTTAACTGTGGCTTACTGGTAAGGTTCCATCCAGCGTCTGT